ACATACCACAGATTTATTGATTCCACCACAAAGTACACACCACAGATTTATTGATTCCACCACAGAGTACACATAACATATTTACTGATTCCACCACAGAATAAAACGCAAATGACAGCCTACAACAAGTTCTGAAAACACAATCATTTCCTAAATTTTAGTGTGCCCTACTTGCCAGCCATGAATCGAAGGAATCTGACATCAGATACGGGAGTGAGTAAAAAATTTCAGGAATAACCTGATGGTCAATTTTTTTATGTAAGCACACCTTGAGGATTTCATTGTAATTTCCCATGTGACCTATAGAAATTTCAGTTAAAAACAACTTTAACTGTAAGGATCGACAGAAATATGGTATATAAAATATTCAAACCTGAGAATGATTTCACTTAGATAGGCTTGGTAGATATTCTTTCTGTTCTTTTTCATATTTTCAGTTAATAGTTTGTTGACTGGTTGTTGTTAAGCAAAAAGCTACATAATGAGCTATGTGTGCTTCGCACACCACGGGTATCAAAACCCGAATTTTAGCGTCGTAAACTTGAAGACTTACCGTAGAGCCACTGATGGGCTTGTTAGCATATTTGAGAAAGAAATGGAATATGATTTACTTATATCATCCATATCAAATAGTATTAAACCTTTTTATATTGAATCTTGTCCTTTTGATCTTAGGCTGAAATATTTTAAAAATGAAATGTTAATTTATTATTAAATAGATAACTAATGTGTTGATTTTGTTCCCTTTCTATCAGTGAATGACTGTATAAAAGAGTTCAACAACTGTTGTAGCCAAGCGAATACCAGTGATTTTCATATGTGCAATGGTCAGTCCTGCTACGTTTTCTTTCTTGAACACAAGGACTGGAAATCTGCTTTAAAAGAGTGTAGACAAGGTCTTCCCTTCTACACTGATGGTGTGCATCTAGTACAGTTGGAGACGAAAGAAGAAGGACAATTAATTAATGACTTTGTCAGAAAATTGACAGATAAAACAAGTATGTTAAGACATTTTATTTTAAATAGTAAAATAACTTAAAATCATAAATAATATTCAACGTTAAACTGGTACACAATTAAAAACATTTTATTTAGGCCTATCTATGGCCTTCAAAAAGTTGACGACTCTACATGTTTCGACGTTACACCTTTCGAAGGCCATAGATAGGCCTAAATAAAATGTTTTTAATTGTGTACCACTTTAACGTTGAATATTATTTATGATTTTAACTTTATTCACAAGAGCCAAAATACTATAAGTAAAATAACTGTCGAGTTTCATAAATATGTAGTACTATTTTCAATTCTCCTTCATCAAAATGTCAAACGAATGTCAGAAAGGAATTACAAGTGAAGTTATATGAATTAACGATATATATAAAGATTATAGTTCCACAGAATGGTGTTTTTAAATACTTAGAAATATGAGAGCATGTTTCAAGTGAAATTTGAAAAATAAAACATGTAAAGGTTAAAATAGGCTAATGTTAAAGACAAAAATATTTTTAACATTTTAGATCACCAGGATTCTGTAATTACACATGAATTCTAATAGTGTATTCAAGTTACGAAAATTAAATCGGGGTTTCATATTTTCTTAAACAATCCGATTTTTATAAAACGTTCATAGGATCATAAACTAATTATTTTGTGAGAACTTTTAGAGTGCAACCAGCAAACATAAGAGAGTCATATTCATTTAGTATCACAAATTAATCTCTACTGACAAAACATGTACATTAACCGAACTTGCGTGGGGTTGGTTCATTGGACTAATTCTGGATTGCAGAAGGAAATTTGGCTATAATTCCGAATTTACTGCAAGTATGTACACGAAATATGGTAAGCTTCTGGTAAAATGTACGAGTCTTTTGTACAAAAAAATCAGATGCGCACTTAAACTCCAATCCGTGCACGTACGTTAACATCTATCTGTTGACAGTACATAACCATAGGATATATATATATATATGTTACTTCACGCTGATGCTTTTCTTATCTTGTACTTATATATCAATGTATTAATCAATTAACATCTCAGTCGGTTGACACTAAGCCTATATAATATCGCTGAAAAAGTTTCAGCAGTAGTCATGCCTTACTATATGAAATTTATATATATATGGGCGTACCTGGAGTTGTTTGAAAAAACAAATCTTTAAAACTTCGAATTTCCACTGTTGTTACCACAATGTCATCATACAGGTCAATAATACTGCTTGTTTTAAATAAAAGAAGAGCTTAGAATATGAAATAGTATATCCTCACCCTTGTGTGTGTTGTTAATCGAGGTTGTAACCTTACTCTTCTTTGTTTGTTTTATCACATAACTCTACAGTGGACGATCTGCGTTGTATCCGTTGCGGCGATCGATCCCCTAATTCTAGCATTATAAACCTTTGAATCTTACTACCGATGTAATGTTGTGCACTTTACATCTGCTCTAAAATACTTTTACCTTTAAGCTTGTCGTTTAGGATGAGACGATGAGCAATATTACATTATTTGTATTGTTATAGGCCTATATTTCATTTTAAAAACTTATAAAGTTTTTATTTTTGAGGCAAATATCTAAAATCTGTCGAAATCATGTACTACCAGTCTCAGTAGGCCCAATTTAAGGAGGGGTTGGAGTTGTGTAATATGTAGAATGTTGTTATTTTGTAAACTGTTTTGTATGAAAAATTTCAAAAGATACTGTACTAATCTCTAATATCAGTAATTGATAAGTAACTTTAAAATGTCACGAATTTGTCTGACTGTTGTGGCCACATAATCTTATAATATTATCTCGTATATGAAAAATGGAATGAAGCAGTTATAGAGTAAGAAATTATCCATAGGCTATGTAAGTAAGGCGCTTGTAAATATGGCATTTGACTAACTGGAAATTTAAATGCTGAATATACTCACATATTAGGTGACAAGTGAAAGAATCAGTAAGTGTAACACTAAATGCCTGCTTTATTACTTTAGTGTTTAGATGCTTTTACTGTTTTTGCAGAGCGGGAAACCTGCTTAATTTTACAGAAGTTAATTGTAAATAACTGTCAACAGAAGTTTCATCGAATATGTCCAAAACGTTTTTTCTTTGACAGAAACTCTGTGTATCTATACTGAGTGAACTTAACGTAGTAAAAAATCTCAATAAAAAGCAATAACTATTAAAAGTTTCCCTGGGACATCTGCTATAGTTACGGCTTTAAAAAAAGAGGAAGTACAAATTTAACTAGTTTTAACGCTAGGACCAGTAAATGAGTTTTAAGTAAATATACAAGGTTAATTACAAACGTAAACCTATATCAGCGATGATCCAGATATAAAAAGCACATATGATACCACAAAACGAATGTGACGTCACTGCAAAAACTTAATTAACCTAAATATATAATTCAACGTAAGTTGTTAGCAAATAACTAATAATAAAACTAAAGATAATATAATATTTATATGAAGTTGGTTTATAATAAAAAGTGCGCAATGTACAGCAAGGGATATGTTGATACTCAAGGAAGTGAAGGGAATTAAAACATATCGTTCGCCATAAATATAGTGTATTCGAGTCAGATGAGCGTCTTCAGTATTAGCTTTATCGATCCCCCAGGATTCTATTTGCGTTTTTATTTCCAGGTCATTTAGTCTTCTGTTAATAAGTTTAATATTAATGGAGACAGAAAGTTATGAAAACAATGTAACTGTTTAACAAAAATAAAATCAATTAACACTTGATTCGAATAATATGAATATCAAATTAATATTTCAATTTTCATAATTTTAAGAGGACTACTTTACCGAAGCTGCTGTAAATATTTTCATTGCATTATATGGTAGAATTTTTATATTAAAATAATAACAATAAAAGTGTTGTTTTTTCAACTTTTCACTTTTAAAACTTTTATTTATACACTTGATTCGAATAATATGAATATCAAATTAACGTTTTAATTTTCATAATTTTAAGATGTCTACTTTACCGGAGCTGTTCTAGATATTTTCATTACATTATATGGTAAAATTTCTATACTAAAAACAAAACAAAAATTTTTTTTTCCAATTCTTCATTCGCTCTTAAAACTTTTATTTATACCAGGGTTTTCAATACTTAACAACACAGAAGACGTATGCTGACCATAAGAACAAGTGTTGATGTGGTATAGGGGCCTTATAATTTATTTAATCATTCGTCAACCCCTGTTATGGGTTTTATTCAATGTGACGTAAAATTTAAAACCGATGAGTAAATATATAAAAAATGTTAATTTTTTATCAATTTTAAGAATTTTAGTATTTTTCTTCGAGAGCCAATTATTTAACACAAGTTTAGCATAAACCAGTTATGCAAAAAAGATACAGTTTTGTTACTATCACTACAGAAAACTGTGTATATGTAAAACACCTAGATACAATTAGAAAATACTTAAAACACTTGGATGTTGTGAAAATATCCAAAAACTAACAAAGACATTGTGAAAAGTAGACTTATTGATGGTAGACCGTTAGGCTTAGCAAAGAATTTTTTCGTTTAATTACATTAATTCTACGTTTAAAAATGCATCTGTATAATAAAAAAAATCATTGAAAATTAAATTTAATAAGCTACTCTTCTATGGCAAATGTGAGCATTATACGTTAATTCAACTTGTTTTATTTTTATAGTGTTTTCAGAGTTACGTCATACAAAAGAATCGCTATTTCTACCAGTAAATTTTAATTTTGTTTTTTGAAAGAAAAAATTATAAGTTAATGTTTTACTACCCTTTATGTGTGTGTCTCTAACTTTCCATGATCTTTTCGATTTAGGATGATTTCACAATGAAAAAATGGCATAATACTTTGACGCTAATTGGTCCTACTTTTTTTACTGTTAATCTTCACCATTTTAGCGACCATCTGGACAAGTGGTTCTAAATGTCCTCACCGTGAAAATGACTCTTCTTCGACTAAGTTCCTCTGGATTGATAATATCGATGTTTCAGATTGGATAAATGACGGATTTTCTTCTCTGGAAGCACAGTCAAAAATAGAACCATATCAGGGCTGTATGTACTTGTACATGATTATCAGCCAGAATTCCAGTCAAGAAGTAATTTATGGATATACAACCGAATCTTCAGCCTACAGTTATATTTGCGAAATGATGTCTCCTGACCGACCAAGTACAACTAGTAGATTTAGCGATATGGAGACTTCCAGGTAAAATGAAGTTTCTTTTTTGCTTTTATGAAGCTGAAAGGAAATATTGTTTTCATAGGAATCGTTATACTGTGCTAAATAACCTATTTGATCATTTTTCCCAAAAACAAAACCCTCTAACAACCAATTTTTTATTTAAGTATTTTATCAAAGTTTTTACAGTTTATTAAATCAGACGTATTTTATTCTTTTATTGTTATTTTGAATTAATTTGGTGATTAATTAATTTTGGCTATTAAGTGCTCAAAAGTAAAAAGAACCAATCAGCAAACTGGTAGCGATGTCTGGCCATTAGATGTTTTTTTTTTTACCCCTGGAATTATAACACCAGAAAGCGGGTTTCAATATACGTAGTGGAGACAGCACAGATAGCCCAATGTGTAGCTTTGTTCTTAACTATAAACAAATAGACATATATTCTTGAAATAAAATTTACTGCCTCATTATTCTGATTGTTTGTTTGTAGTTAATCACAAAGCTACACAAAGGGCTGTCTGTGCTCTACCCACCAAGGATATCGAAACCCGGTTTCTAGCGTTGTAAGTCCGCAAACATACCGCTGTGCCACTGGGGGGGGGGGCATTATTCTGATACTCTTACAATTGATTATACACTAAGAGAAGACTGTCCTCGGCTTTACGACTAGTACTGGAGATGCTGTATTAGAAAATAAAGATATTTAATGCTCATAATGAAACCCATTGCTGAGCACTAACATACTATTCTGTTTACAACTTAGTTCATTACGCAGATAGGGCGACGCATTCGGTATTTTTTGCTACTTCCCTAACTGCAAATGTTATTAGCTATGTCTGAGTATAATTAATTTTAAGAAGTTTACTATAAATCAATACATAACCAATTTGCTCCACAAGAAGAAATTTTGTAACATCCAAGTTTAATTGATTTTTGATGTTGAGTTATAATTATTGCGCTGTAATAGACAGAGTGATAGATAGATTGATTAAGATGAATTCATGTAAATCCTTCCTATTGATTTAATCCACTGTTTATTACAGCCAGGAGTCCATTACGTCAGCCACGACAGATAAAATTTTGTCTTCCACTGATTCTACATCAGTAACTACAATGATGTCCTACCCATCTACAGATTTTCCTCCCCAAAAAACCATCAGTGTGACAACGTCATCCCCCAAACACATGAGTAGTATAACCAGTACGATGGCACATAACCCATCCACGGAGCCATTCACTTATCCCACTAGTACAGAGAAAGATATATTTCCTGTTTATACTGAATCGTCATCCCAAGGCATAAGCACTCCTGCTGATAATATGATATGCAGTCCGGTGTCAAGCCCGTGTAACCAACACACTACCACCCGAGAAAGTAATGCTATGGACCATTTCAACCGAAGTTCCAAAATTACTCACTCTTTAAATTATTGTCCAGGTCGAGAAGATCGAGGAATTCAATGGCCTAACATCCTTAATGGTTCAGAATGCTCATGTCCCTGTCCAGGAAATTCGATTGGTACTTTAAATATTAATGTATTAGTGAGCTGTGTTCTGAGGAACGTGTTTATGTTTAAATGTATATGGAGAGATGTCCTTCATACAACTGTCTATATATTTAAATGAAAATAATAGATTTAACATTTTCTTTAAACTGGTATTTACTTAGAGCTTTTGGTACCGGTATTGAATTCTTAGGGAAATATGCTTTTGGACCATATTATCAATAGTAAACAACAGTCTATATGTTCATCAACTGTTGGTTAAGAAAATCACTGGAGTGATCATTCTTAAAAACATGTGACTGGGAGATTTCAGTTTTAAACAGTACAACCATTTTAATATATTTATGAGCCATTTAGAATATACTTGATAGGTGAATTTTTATATCATATTCTACAGATAACAAGAAAATAAGCCATTAAAATGTTTGGACGTACACAGAACCAATTTATGCGTGTTAATAATATAACTCAAAATGTTTTAATATAATTTTCATTAAATTTAATACAAAAGTAAAGTGTCTCCCAAAGATCAATTGATTAACTATTGTTAAATTTAGGTCAAACGTTAAGGTCACACCAAGCTCAACCATAACCAGAGTTTTATCTGATTTTGTTGAAATTTGGTAAAAATGTGTCTCACAATGACTAACCGACTAAAAATGATGGTGAATTTAGGTCAAAGTTTAAAGTTTAAATGATAGCAAACTTGTATTTCGAAAAAAATAGTCAAAACTTGAAAATATATTCGAATAGAAAGAGGGTCTTGGCATCTAGCGATAAATTTTAGAGAAAAGCGAATTATTTTGTATATATTCTAGATTCGTTCCTCTAAAGGTAAAAAAAAACAAAAAACATTGCGGTTCAGGGATGTTACTCTCTGATTGCCTTTTTAGTTTTTAATACGAAATTGGTTTCAGTTTTCATGTTCTTTGGCCTTACTCTTGTTTGCTGAATAAGTTAGAAATATATTTAATAATACGAGGTGACTATTAATTGCCTTTTATTGATGATGTTTAAATCAATTATCTTCCACGTGTTCTATGAAAGATATGCTCATGTTTGGAATAGCTTAAATGCATGAATGGAACCAATAAGAATGAGTATAAAAATAAAATACAAAATAACGCTATTCCATAAGCATTTTAATTGTTCTTATAGGGAAGGCCACATGGCGGTGTGAAAACATGAAGTTTGTAACACCTGTTCCAACTTACTCGAATTGTAAACATCAGTGGTTGATTATTTTAGACGAACAGGTTTGTGTTTTTTAATATTTCTCTCCATGAACATAAGACATGTGTCTGTGACTTGTCGGCTTGACTTATGAATTATCAGCTTTCTCTCTGAACTACATGAATCAGAAAAATAATTTGTTTTGCCTCTATGTTTGTGCGCATAAACTTCAATGTATTCAGATAAGAGGCTCGAGGTATTTGTATTGTTACCGTTTGTTAACCTCTAAGTCAACGATGATACAAGTTATCATAAGTCAAAACAGCATGGGAAAGTTTTGGCTTTTTTTTTTCCTTGTTAATGTTTTAAAGCTTAAATTTTGTGAAAGTAAATTGCAATATTCCAAATCTATGGTGAAATTTTAAAGTACGTCCAATACAAGTTTATATTAATATAAGTGACAAAAACATAATATATATTCATTTATCTATAATTTTCATATGTATTTGTTTGTTTCTAATATTTCATTCTAATATATCTAAAACATTCTATCAACTATTTTTTCAACAATTAATAAATTGCGGATAAATTTTAATTATTTTATTAAAGATTTGAAGATCTGGTGTATGTACACCAGAATGTGAATGTTTTGTTCACGATATTTGTGAGACTAAGTCTTAACCAAAGTAAGAACAGACTGTCGGTGAGGAAATAGAAACTATTTCTAAATCATCTTTTCCAGAGCTCAGCATAACCGTTGCGTGTGAGTTATTAATCTTGAGATGTAGTGAACCAAATTTCAAAATATCGTTAGTGAATGGAAAATTAGAACTGATTCAACGTGTATTGCACTAAGTATGTGAGAGACCAGCTTAGCCTCATTACATACCAAGTTCAGTGTATCCATGGTGAGAGGAAAATGGGTTCAGTTTGCCTTTAGTGAATGGGAGACTAGTTCTGAGTCTTTGTTAGGGAGTATCTGTAAAAATGTTTATGTTTCTTTGGATTTTGTGCTGAGCGTATAAGTAGTTTCAATCATCAAGTTCATTATGTGTTAAACGAATTTTGTTTATAGTTTATAGTAAATGTAGAATAGTCTTGAATCACCTTTTATGAAGCTCAATGTTTGCATAATTAATGAGCGAGTAGTTCTGAATCATCATCAAAAGAGGAAAAAAAAATTATTTTAATTTATGAGAAATGTTCAGTGTTAACAACAGATCTAGATGTCTATGATCGTTTGGATTCATTAATTTCCAGATAAAAAGTGGATGGAATATTCTGGATATAAGTAAAAGTCTCAACGAAAGGACCCTAGAACAGGACATATTTGGTGGAGATGTAGCTGCTATCATATCTATCGGAAAGAAACTCCGTGAGGAACTTGAACGTAATCTAAATGAGAAAACGAATGACATCAAGGGGTTGTTGGAACTCGTCATCGACAATGTTATATCAACTTACGATAACTTAGTTAATGAGAAGCACGATCTTGCATGGAAGGATTTACCACATGTAATGTATTTCAACTACACAATTGATGTCATAATATGACTGTAACTAATGTAGTGACTCAACAATTATTTATAAAGTTAGGTTGTACAATGTAAGTACAAGGCAGTTATTGCCTATGAATTATTTATTGCTTTTCTAAAGTTTTAGGTGCGAAACGAACATATTATCTCATGGAGTTTAAGCCCACGTTTAACAATGGGTTAGGAAAGAGTTGGAAATGGGGTGCTTGGCTATATATGCAGATAATATGATAATATAATTTACAGTTGCTATACAAGTCAAATACGTAAAAGTGGTTTCTACGCCTATGTTTAACTTCTTAGAACTTATTGAGCCCTTAGCGCCGTTTTTAATGTCGTATAAGAACATTTTCCTATCATAAGTACGGATACATAATGCATGAAATACAAACTATTTACTCGTACACATTTTTAACAACCAAATAATTAGTCTTCAAAAGTAGTTGAGAAACACTCTTAGGTGATAAACAAACTACATACAAAATTATAAGTTACACAACCACTTGAGAAAGTCAACAGAGCAGATACAAAAAATTTACAAAACCACAAATTTTTCAGTCTCGCTGACTGACTGACATTATTGAACGCTTCTAGCTGTGTAACAAACATACTTACCATATTTATAAGTGCACCCAAATAGCACAGGGACCACGTGCTAATTCTAGCATATTTCTATACTACATAATATAAAAAAGAAGAACTGTTTGACGTACACCAAGTAATAACTTGAACAGGGACGCCATTTTAAAATACATATGTCTGCTCGCTTACTCTGTATACTGAATCGGTGTGGGAGCCAACTGTTGAGTACCGCCACTATACAAAAAAGGGATGAAAGATATTCCTGTCAAGGTATAATTATTGGTTTACAAGACTTCAAATCCATTTCCCTGAATTAACTAATGCCGGAGTAAAAAACAGATTGATAATTACATTGATAAATACAGTGTTGTAATAATTATCAGTATACTTACATGTAAACAAACACGGACAAAGTCCAGCTTAAATCTGTTTATTTCATAAATGTTAACATGCATTACCTACAAGAAATTCTAGTTATTGCCTATATTAGATGAAGCAGGAAATTAAATTAATTAGCTAATTTATTAACCCTTAGTATATGCACACAACCACAACTCGCACTACATCACCCAAATAACATTGCACACTATATAATGTGTGCCATAACATGTACAGCACACACACATACACCATTATTTGCACATACCATAATATCATGGTGCACACCAACACTGATAATATACGTACAGAATATCAACACAAATGAATGAATGATGCATAAGATCATGTATGAAAAAAAGTGCATGAACGAGTTGAAAAAATGTTTTTTTAAAAAACTGAAAGTGTAGGAATGGGTGCACCAAAAGTGAGGAAACAAGGTAGGAATGAGCATGATGTAATAAAAATTTTTCTTACAACCTCACAAGGGGGCGTGTCCAACATCCGGTCCTTGCCAACTTCGTTTTTATGTGTTCATGATACTATACAACTTATGGGTACATACAAAAGTATGCCAGTGATTCTTCTACTTTTGTATAAACTGTAACGAATCCAAGACGTCGATACACAGAAACCTCTTAGGATGTAATGGGGGGATCAACCTCCTCAGCAGAGCACAGATATTTTATGCTAGTTTACTATAAAGGTTAAAAATGAGATTTTGTGTAATGAATAAATATTATATCTTCATATTCTTTGTTGAACCTGTGCTGTTGTATAATTGTTATACGTTCTTTTTCTTTCTCACAGCACGACCGGGTTACTTCGGCAAGCAATATTATGTCAGAAGTGGATAAGTTAGGTATATTGCTAAGCTGTCAACTTTCACCGGGCTCCAGAACTTCAGTTATCAAAAAATTTGTTGGTAAGACAGTTTTTTTTTGTACTCTAGCTAAAAGAGCTAGCTTGAAGTTACCAAAGAAAACCCTTTCAATATAATCAATAAATCGGTGGTCTGAAAATCACTGATAAAGAATTGGAAGGAAAAAAACCCTGAGTATGACATATAAAGTAGTTTAGAAATTATCCCGATTTCCTTATCTTATGTAGAATTTTGGGTGGAGATTAGATGAGAGTATTGTAAATCAAAATTAAGAGTAAAATCTGTAACTCTTGAAGATGTTTAACAAGTAAAAAATATTAATAATTAAACTGTTTTTCTAATTTCTGGTGAGAACAAAGTTAAAATATTTGTTTTGGTTTCGGTCCATTTCTCTTTATAGTGGTTTCGGGGATTTCCCTTGTGGAATGAGTTGGTATTAGAGTTGCTTGCTTCTTCTCTGCTAATCTAGCAAGGCAATATTGGTGAGTAAAAATAAATGCACACCGTCATCGCACGTGTAATGATATGATTTTGATCTGATAGATGCGTCATCGACCCGTTTCATTGCAATAAGGCTATCCCTACTGTAAAGATCCACAGGACAATTACTTGCTCTTCACTTTTGAAACTGAGTTAGTGAACAAAAGTGATTCTTTCGAGAGTTAAAAATAAGTCTCAAAATAATTCTCTATAACTAGTAGCAAGAACGTTAAAGAAAGGTTTTCGGCTATCGATCTACAAAACTGATTATATCTGCTATTGTCGAAAAACTTGTCTCTAGGTGATTGTTGAGGGTACCTCAATCATTGATAACTTGAATTATAATACCAAGTGTTTGTTCGTTTTCTTAGAATTTCGCCCAAAGCTGCTCGAGGGATGTTTGTGCTAGCCATGCTTAATTTTGAAGTGATAGACTAGAAGGAAGGCAGTTAGTCAACATCACCCACTGTCACCTCTTGAGCTACTCTTTACTAACGAAAGTGGATTGATTGTTACCTTATAATGTTCCTACAGCTGAAAGGGGGAGCATGTTCGTTGACGGGATTCGAACCTACGATCCGCAGATTACGAGTTGAGCGCCCTCACCATCAAGCAAACCAGCCCTAAAATTACCAAAGTAGCCACAGAGAAAACACTCACAGAATGATAGTGGGTCGATACGGGATATGAAATACTGCTTAATTAATCAAAGCCTAGACTAGTAGAGACTAGTTGAGGTTGCCCAACGATTTGTGTATTCTTTGCTCATTTATGAAGCAAGTTTATAAAAATCGGTTGTGTTGAGCAAAAATTCAGCCCAATAGGCACACATTCCTGAATTTTCGCAGTAATTTCGGAGTATCATGTAGAGTTGTAAATCCTATGAGACTGTCATTTCCCGACACCAAAGTGACTATATTACATACTTTTAAAACTACACTCTCAGCGAACATCAAGAGGAGATAACAAGGAATTTTGTGTAATAATTCGTTATCTTTCAGATGTAATGTCACTTTCACTTGTATGAATGTACTAAATTTTAAAATGTTACTGAAATAATGTGAAAAAGTGCTGCTCAGGTCACTAAACAAATCCTCAAAGAAATAATATAATATAACAATTGAATGTGTTTCGTAGCAAAAATGTGTGGAATCGCAAAGTCTTAGAATAAGTAGAAACTATATACAATATAATTATAAAATGATTTGTTTTGTTTGAAGTTAAGCACAAAGCTACACAATGGGCTATCTGTACTCTGCTCACCACGGGTATCGAAACCCGGTTTCTAGCATTGTAAGTCCGCAGACATACCGCTGTGCCGCTGGGGGGCTTACAAAATGAAATAAAATGTTTTGAAACATAAGAAAAAATACGTTTGTCTGTTTATCGTGAAGTATAAAGCTACACAATGAGCATTTTGTACTACTCCTCAATCCTCAATCCGTGTTATTAATCCTCAATCTTATCCCTGAACCACCAGGGGGTGAAGAGAAATGACGTAAGTTTTATAATAAGACAAAGAAAAACGAATAAATAAGATATTGAAACATAATTTATAGAACAAACAAATACAATTGAAAGTAATCAGAGAATGGTTTAATGTGTATGTCCAGTAACCATACCAAAGTATTGAATGACGTCAGATATCTTAATGTTGCTAAATTTGAACGTGTTTTTGTTTTAATGCTTATGTACTGGATTGGCTGTTTCAGGCTTTAAAGGGGACTAACAAAGAAAGCTGTGAATAAGCCCACATACTTAGTGATTGTTGTCGTATCAGTAATGCTGATAACTTTATCTGGAATCGCAGAGTTGATTCGCGTCGCTGGTGATTTAGGTTAACGCTCCTAGTTTAGATGAGGGTTTTTACTAAATAGAGATATAAAGTGATATACAAGATTATTGTCAAGATTATACAAAACTAACTGATGCAGTGCGATAGTTCAAGACTGTATGTATGGCAAAGTTGCAGTATCTAATTTTGTGCTAGTCAGTAGCACTAAACCACCCACCATCCACGTTAATGGATTGACTGTCACTTTTATAACGCATCCACAACTTAAGTAGGGCGGGGTATTTTACGGTATTGCACAAATTCGAGCCCTTTGGTCAAATCCGAAATCCAGAGCTCCACCACAGGGCCACCCCGTGACACTAGTTGAAGACATGTAAATTCAACAAAAAATTAGCATATTTATAATTTATAAAGCAATGACCGTGATATCGTTTATTTGTAATTTAAGGAACACGTAAAATAATCACGACTGTTTCTTTCATGAATATACACTACATTCACCTCTAATTTTGCATTTCTTCCTTTTTATGATTTAAGATACTAATACGTAAAATAATTGCATGTGTCTCTATAATGAATATACACAACATCTACCTCTAATTCTGCATATCTCTTTGTCGAGCAAGTAATGTATTGAATTATTTAGGTGTTAATTCGTATCTTGTTACTGTAATAGCACTTGAAGCTTTCACCTTTCCCGAACAACAAATAGAGAACGTTCTCAAATTTCCTGAGCAGACTAACACTCAGCTGATCTTACCAAAAGGTTTGAACACATCTGACTACCCCTCAGCATGCGCCATAATGACTGGTGTAGGAGTACACTACAAACGACTTGGAAACTACCTTAGACCACAGAACGACGGATCAGAGTAAGTTTAACTCCTTGATAGAGTAGGACATTATTCAAACTGTATGTATTTTTATGTGAACAAATTGTGTGACTTTCTATTTTGGGCTGTTAATAGTTATAAATCTTAAGACATTTCACGCTTATATCTAAAAACAAACATAAAAATGCTCTAACTTCAGAAAACCATTATGTAGATTCTTTTATATTTTAATTAATTCTATAAGTCTTGTTCTCCTCCTCCTCGTTCTTAAAATTTCAATAACATTTCATTCTGGCTCAGTTTGTAATATCCGTTCTCTGTTTTATACGATAGCCAAGAATAAATACTTTTACCTGTTTAACTGTTACATTCTACGCTCTGACAAGTATTATAACACTGTTTAATACTATTTACCCAAGTATTATATCACTATTTAAAAGACAAATTCTAAAGAAGTAACAAAACAGTGTGTACAACACTCAACACTGCTATTTGGTTTAAGCTTCTAATATTGACATTTCCATCCAAACAGCGAAAAAAAACAAAACAGTGTGCTGCTATTATTTGCTCTAACTAGGCTGCGTGTATATGGAAGGTAACGATGTTAGCAGTACGTATTACAACTTCAAGAAACTTTAATAAGTGTTCACCACTATATACTTATATAACATAGTAACTTCAATATCGTGTAACAACTACTATTAACGTAAAACTGAGGTTCATCACACTTTATAAAACTAACGATCCAGGTCTTGTGCAGTCCTTGGAACTCCTTCTTCCATCGTCCATCGTACATAGTCTGGCAGTGCACTATTGACCAACTCTACTGCTTCCATAGCGATAAGTTTTTTTTGTGAAGTATGGCGCGATCAATTTTAAGATCACACATCTTGACAAACTTTCCACAGAAACTCCAATGTACGTGAACTTCGGCTTCCAAGGCACCGTTTAAGGTATAAAAGTCCATTGGAGCTGCATTGGGGGAGTTGAGAAGTATGTGTTTGTAAGAGGTTGCCGTAACTCCAACTTCTTCAGGGAGGGGACTTTCAATATTACCCCCGGAAGCAAACATTCGGACAAAGCACTTAGGACAACAGTGAACACCGAAAACACGCTCCAATCCGGAGCAATGTTCTCACTCAGAATGTGAAGGTTACGAAAAGAAATCCCCTGATCCAAGAAGAAATTGTGACAAAACTGTGTATTTCTCCTGGTTCCTTTAGCAAATTAATAAACAAAAATTTAATCACAATCAGCGGCTGTTTTCATGAGAAAGATTATAGAAGAACGTAATCAGACTCGACGCAGCTCCAATGGACTTTTGTGCAAGTAGTCTGCTTAAAGATGGCATTGAAAGTTGATACGTACAGTTTGTGCAGTCTAAAATTAGTTTTTCCTTCCTTTACGAAAGCTTGTTACAAAGAAAACTGCGATGCCGGACAATAGTACGTAATTACGTCCATCAAATTGAAAACGATTGACAAAGGAGAAGTAGTTAAAATGACATCATAAAACTTAGAACATCACGCGCAGTTAACCTCAGTAAAAACTTTTGCATCAATTCTTTCAAAGATCTTTCCACAAATCGTTACCATGAACTGAACTTTTCAAAAACTTTAGTGAAAGAAATACTTTCAGTTTGTTTGACTTCTGTTGTTATTATTGGGTTTTATAAAGTAATTCCAAGAGCCTTTTTTTTCGTGGAATTCCACATATTTCATATTTAAAACATAAGCTAAATTGGACATTTTATTTTGGTATTGCATGACTAAAGGTTAAGTAATATTTATTAAATCATACATGATATGTTAAACTGTTTATTAAACCAGCCAATGAAGAATTCGGGGAGACATTTTCACTTATAAAATAAAAGATTTCTTGGCTACGTTTATCATCTCTTTTGATCTTCGGTGGCTCAACAGTAAAGCTTCAGATCTTATATCTTTGTAGTGGGCAGAGCAGAGGTAGCCCACTGCACATCTTTATAATTGTACCCGGGTGGGACAGCGGTGAGTCCACCGACTTACAAAGCTAAAATTCGGTATTCGATTCCCTACGGTGGACACAGCAGATAACACAATGTGGCTTTGCTCTAAAACAAAACAAATAAACAGGTTTTGACCTTATCAACAGAAAAACAAACTCATTGCTTCTTGACTATTAAAGTGACTTCACTTCTTAATTTATTTATTTAATTTCCAAAATGGCATATACTGGCGGAAAATCTTTCAGTGTTAAGTCCAAATTAAGTTAGGCTGTTTATAAATAGTTATATTAGTGAAGTCTGATAAGCATAATGATGGATGAAAATGACATTTTTTTATACCAGCTGGGCCAAGGTAAACTTTAATATTATGTTACTTGTATTTAGAGGACTGATATACACATCTGTTCCTAATTCATACCTTTCTGGCCTATCCGCACCCAGATATTGTATAAAAGTAAACGTTTAACATTAATATCCATTTGAATTCACATACTATGTACTTTTATGATTTTGTGAAATCTAAAAACTGTATGTTAAGAGCAAACAAAACAACTTTTTGAATATCTCTTTTTTTTTTCTGTTGGAAATTAAGAGAAACCGATCAAGTCATCAATACCAATGAAGTCAATTCTGATATCCTGGGTTTTACAGTCGGCAAGTCTGAAAACTCTATAAGCCTCCCAGCTGGTCTAGATGTCATCATGAGACTGGATCATCTCCGCAAAGGCAGGGCTAGCAACGTTAGCTGTGTGTTCTGGAACACGACAAGGTTGTAAATGTAAAATGAGTAATAACGTATGCTTAAGGTGTACACCTAGACACAAAGTATTAACATATTAACTTCTTATCAGATTCTGGAAGAACTGAAATTTAAAAGCCACCACTTGATGAGTAGAGTATGCTACGTTATAACGTCTAATCTTTTTAAAGGTATAATAAAATTATTTAAAAGGCATGTATCAGAACATGGAAGTTAACTTGCCTGCTCTATTTTCCTTCACGTCCTTCACTTGTTCGATAACGCGTCGTAAGTATACATGTATTATTTAATTGGACATTTTGGAGTGGAGCTTTAACTTCAACTGTATGTTATCCACCTTGTTTTTTATATACTTATGGACAATTTGTTTTACTTTATTAATTTAATTTGAATATTTTTAGGTAAAAATACATTTATTAAATATCGCATCGTTTTTCAGGAATCCACTGAATCAACTAATTAACGATTTTGTTTTAAATCCACCTATTCACTAAATTCTATAGAAAAAAGTGGATATTATCCAATAATAATAAAAACACCACCATAATACACAAAGAGTAAATAATTATGAATAATATTTCTTTATTCAGATCAACAGTAAAAATAATAAAATATTTTATTTTTTATGTTTGTTTCTTCAGCAAACTTGAGGAAATAAGAGTAAAAATCGTCTCTTCTCTTTTTTCTCACTTATATGCAATAAGAACATACATTCAACTAATTATGTGTGAGGTTAGATTGATTAATAATTTGTGATAAATATTAAATGAATACTCTAGTGCTTGGAGATCTTTTCTTATATGTTTCTTACAATATTTTGTCCTTTGCATGAAGTCATTCAATCAATCACAGATGCAACTTTGTACAACTTACAACATATGCTTCTAAGTTAAGTTTGAACGAAACTTTCAATAAAGATATAGTATATTTAAGGGTATAACTTAAACATATGTGTAGTTTACTTAAGATGTTATGTTATTTATGTACTTAGTGGTGTCGACAATCATAGTGCAAAGGCAGCTGCGAATATTTTGTCATGTTTATTACTGTGATAAGAAATTGGTTAATCATTTAACTTTTTACATAGATCGTGCTAGATTAGTAGTGGATTGTAGAATATAATACAGTAAATTTGAAAACTAGGTATAGTATATTGAGATAGGGAGTGTAGAAAAAATGTATTGAGCGGATAATTTTTCTGAAAATTCACATTACTCAATATTTGAAACTTAGAATTGAAAACTATGGCCGCATACGTATTGCAGTTCCAACCAACGTAAGCAATACATCCTGTGGCTTATCAAGTATATGGTACATTTTTATCGACATCAGAAATAAACCCAATCCACAGTTAGCTAAGAAGTGCTGTTTAGAAAAACGAAATCCAGGATATTATTACATGGGAAAGATTCACTGTTGTTGGCAATTAGCTACCAAAGCAATTTGAATTAATTCAAGAAGCTCAGATCGTATTCGGTTCATGATTACAGTCAGCAGTAAGTTCTGACAGCCTATGAATATGTGATGGATTTGTTTTTTTTATAACATAAAAAGCGAAGAAAAACTATAAGTATACCTCTTCTTGTTCTTCTGCAAGAACGTCACGGAATACTGTCATGAGTTCAATTCTTCATATTAACTTTTGATTTCTCTCACGACTTCCGTTACAATCAGGGAAATCCAACTATACAGATTAGAGAATCTGCAAGTGAGAAGTTTGGAAAATTAATCGGAGTTAGCAGGAGTGAGATATAGAATAGGATGGAAAAATGAGCACACCTCGGAGTTAGCAGGAGTGAGATATAGAATAGGATGGAAAAATGAACACACCTCGGAGTTAGCAGG